TACTCATTTCTTCCTAATCATCCCTATAATATCATTTAAATGTAGTTTTATCAATGTGTAAAACATATAATGGATGTTTTATTTAAAGGAAAACACAAATATGACAAAAGTAAAAAGTCTAGCAGGATGTTAAAGAAAAAATGAAAAATAAGATCTTTAAAAAGAGGGAAAAATCATTCAAATGACTAAAATTGTTCTTGAAGAATCTACTAGTCAAAAATCAGATCTGCAAAAACATTGTGAGCTTATACATATGTATGACACCTAAAGGGCTCAAAGAAATAGCCACAGAAACAAATCATTAAATAAGGAATTCTATCTAGTTTCACACAGTATACACTACATATATAAAATACCATAGCCCTGAATTCCAAATATAAATTAAAATCTCTCTTTGCTGAGGGAAAAAATGTAACTATTCTACACAGGTACACTCATTTATTCCAAATGATCTCTCAGTGGTTATTAAATGGTTAAGTAATCCATTTGACTAGAGACATCATCAGTAATACCAAGAGAATAGCTGTGAGAGATACTTGATTCTAGTTCCTAGATAACTCATGCATATTTTATCCCTTCAATGATTATTTGTTGAATGTTTACTATGTGCGAGGTATTGTGTTAGGCACTAGGGTAGCTACAAAGATGAGTAGAAGAGATTTTTTTTTTGGTGAGGAAGTTGGCCCTGAGCTAACATCTGTTGCCAATCTTCCTCTTTTTTGCTTGAGGAAGACTGGCCCTGACCTAACATCTGTGACAATCTTCCCCTATTTTGTATGTGGGTCGCCGCCACAGCGTGGTTTTGATGAGTGGTGTAGATCTGCACCTGGGATCTGAACCTGGGCCACCAAGTCAGAGTGCACCGAACTTAACTACTATGCCACTGGGCCAGCCCCTAGAAGAGATATTTATTGTCTAATGAGGGACAGAGACCTACAAACAAATAATTGCAACTGGAATTAAGGTGAAGAAATATGGAATGAGAGTGAAGGAAGAACAGAAAAAACTATCCTGCAGATCTCTGCTTTTTCTTATGGCTATGATTAGATACAAGTACAAGTTCATTTAAACATTCCTAAATACCAAGACCTTGTCTTAACTGATAGGTTCAGTGGCCATCTAAGTTCCCGCTTCCATTTTTCATGTCCTTATTTTTAAACTTACTGATTCTGCCGTCTACCACCTGTATAAGATGCCTTAGAATAAGGAAGAAATATGCATGAGTACACTGCTATACTAGTTATCCATTTTAAGTTTTTAAAAATATAAATTTTGGGGAATGAGGAAGATATACTAAGGTTTGGGGCTCACTGGTATAGTTACTCCTTGGCTCTTTTCTGCCTTATCTAGCCGCAGTCAGCAGGATACGAGTAACTCTTACCCACTGGTTGCTCCTGAATCTCCCTAAGGCTAACCTCTACTCTAGAACTATCAGCAGTGTCAGCTGATAGCCAGGGGTGGGTGCTGGGCTGGCCTTCTGTTCAATAATGGCCTCTCACCTATCACCCTGAGTTGAGATAGTGACAGCAAGAGAAAGAAGAGTCACTTGGGGAAGAGTCACATAATTTACCAATACCTTCACAGTATTTATACAAATTGGTTTAGATTTTGAGCCAAGACAAACATTTCAATAAACAAATTTCTAATGCTTTAGTGGCCAGCAAAGTTTAGTTAAGCTTGACAAACAAACCACTCACAGTCTTACCCCAATCTATCTTTCCAGCCTTCTCTCTTGCCATTTTTACCTACAAGCTTTTCAGTTCCTGCCTCACTGAACCCTTTCTGTATTCCCTGGAAGCATCAGTCACCTTATGAAGTGTGTCTTTCCAAAATGCTCTTCCTTCAGCCTAGAATACTCTTCTTCCCCTGTCAACTATTTTCATTCAGCCTTTGAAACTCAACTCAAATACTGGTTCCTTGGCAAAGCCTTAGCTTACACAGTGCATGTGTGAAGCTAAAACCTTGTTAAAAACCTGTGTCACCATGCTTATCTACCTCCTTATGAATCTGGTAATTTTTCTGTCTCTTGCTACTAGACTATAAGTTCTCTGGGAGTGGAAAATTTTGTTGTGTTCATTTCTGTTTCCCCAGTACTAAGTATAACGCCAAGAAAGTATCAATAATTGGTGAATCACTAATAGTTTGCCTAAAGTAAGCATTCAGTAAGTATGTCATTGTCAATAATTTCAGTCAAGGCTTGCTAAAATCTATGTAATCTGCTCTTAGTGAGCCTGAAAATGGAGCTGAGAAGAATAAGGTCCTTTCAGAGTCCACTATCAGCTCTTTTTTGGGTACATCTCATGAGTAGCGAACCTGCTGTTCACCAGAGTAAAGAATCCTGGAACCCCAAGTACTTGTGCTTAAATCACACTCCTGTCCCTTTATAGAGTTAGCATGGAAATGATCTTCTTTGAGATAATGTATAAGTAACTTAAAGTTAAGCATCTCAAAATTTGGTTCCTTTTTGTACTGTTTTCCCATATTCAGAGAGTCTTTTGTGATATTAATTACCAAAATATTTTGTGTTGATCTGAAAACTAGACATACTTCTTATCGGCAATACATTTAAGTGATGTAAGTCACATTAGCTCTTGGTATTATAAGGAAATTAAAAAAATACAATGTACTTCCACAGACATTCAAGTGCTGCAGTGCCTCATTTAGCCAGCATATTTTGATTTCTCTTAAAAGAATATAAATTATTTATCTAGCATTATTAAGGAATGAGCTACTTCACAAACCAGATTTTTCTGGATAAAAAGTTTTATAAGCATCACATATCTTCAAGATTTTAAATATTCTCAATGGATATCACACAATATTATACAGTTTCACTTTAAAAAAAGCCCAGCACAACAAATATAATTTCACTTTTTCTTGATGATTCAGGGTCATTATTATCAGTGTCAATTACTGCACTCTGCGCCATCCATCCTGCAATATAATGGTACCCTTAAGGGCTATTGATAAATGTAAGGCTATTTGCCTTTATCCTAAGTGGATTCAGATTGTTTTATGACTCCTTGCTTTTCATTTTCTCTGCCTCTTCCCTCAATTCACTGTCTTTTTTTTTTTTAGTGCAATCAGTATGTTCTGATGTTTATTTCTCAAACAATTGTCTAGGTGAGGGCTTCTGAATGATTAAATTCTCCTAGAGAGCTAAGTGCATGGGCTTTGTGACTACAATTTGCTAGACAGAGGCCCCTTCTTTCCCTCAATATTTTTAAATCCATGAGGTGGCTGAGACTGTCAGAAGACTAACAACTGAGGAAGTGGTTTATAAGTAGTGCTAGCCTTCATGTATATGCATCATTGGTTTATTACTTTTATTCAAGAATAATTAGTTTTAAATTACTAAGGTAAACTTTGAATTAGCTGTCAAATTATTGCTTAAATATAAATAAAAATTGTTGTTCCTAATGAATTGAAATTTAAAAAGCCCAGCCATGAACTTCAGATTCAATATAGGAAGTACTTCAATGTTACTACATTGTAGAGGGATATTCTTCTTCAGTTATTGACTTTGAAAAACAAATTTAAGAATTCACCATTCTATTCTAACATGATAGAATGAAAACTTCAAATTCTAACTCAATCCTTTTCACCAAACTCTGTACATGGATAGTTAGTTTTACTGTATTTGATCTCTGTTTTATCAGGAAAACAAGAAGGGGAGAGGAGGGGAAAAAATGCTTTCTTCATTTATGAAAAAAAATTTTTACATAGGTTGCTATGTCTATGGAACAAAGAAATTTAGTAAAAGGCATGAAATCTGATATTTTAAAATTCCTGTCATAATTTGGTTAGAATATTAACCCAATACTTACTTGTGATCTTCAAAATATGAGAAAATTTGTGAAAATTTGAAAGATGTCATAGTAACAGATATCACCAACTCTGCAAGGCACTGAGATACAATAAGGGGAAATCTTGCTTCTCAGGGTTAATCCAAAATAAACATTCGATTCAGTTAACTTACAAATGAATGTCAGCTTATATATCTCAAAATATCAGTTCTACTTAAAAGGTCATCCTAAACTTAAAAATAATAGTATTGGAATAAATAAATAAAGAACGCAACATATAAACTTGGCCGAATTAAAAGAAAAAATTTTTTTCCAACAGAAAATTCTTTTCCTAGTTTATACTGCTTTCCATTGTACCTACAATAATGACCTCATTGAAGTAATTCTTTCCAAGTTTAAAATCAATGAATTTTAATAAAATGATATTATTAGGAAGTATATTTCTTATTCAATAAACAAACAAAATGGATGAATTAAAATCTGAGTTACTCAGAGTTATATCAAAAAGATCCAAACCAGGCCAGCAACTGGTAGTCAGACGACCAGCCTTTCCATCTCAGCATTCTTTTGTATTTAATACTGATTCTCAGTACTGCCTAGTCAGTTTAAGGAGTATTTTAAACTAGGATATCTCTTCCAGGGTGATTCTTAAGCCCTTAGATGGCCATCTAAAAGGTGGCTTAAGCAAAGCACAGGCCAGGTTTCAAGATTAGAACTCACAATTGTATAAGTCTCTGATAATTTGCTCCACAACTTTATAAGTCTCATCATTCTCTGCTTGTGCTCCAGCTCTGGAAAATAAAAAAATCATACCCCCCCAAAAAATCCCACCAGTACCTTTACAGAATTGTGACAGGTTTTAGCTAGTTAGGCAGGTTTCAGCTAGACAGATTTAACCTGATAAAAGGACATCCTGCAAAAATTTGCACTCCCTAGTTCAAAGGAATTTGAATTTAATGTATTTAGTTACATATTTTGGAAATACTCCACAAGTAAAAATAATATTCGCTTTATACTTCAAGTAGTGGATATTAACCACAGTTAATCCATGTAAGTTGATAACTCTGTCCTTTAACCTCAGTATTGTAAAGAAATTCCTGAGGAGCAAAATATTTTGGTTCCTTAGTAACTGTCTCTAACTCTAAGAAGAAAGGAGAAAAGTAAAATAGTCTTTTAGAGAAGATAAACACTTACTGGTACTTTGAAGGGTGAGGTATTTGCAGTGTCCATGGAGCTGGGTTTTTCTGATGTACTGGTCCCTGAGATACTCCGTCTGCGGGGGGACCTTTCTGCTGGCACCTCTGGAAAAGAAGAAAGAAACATTAAAAGTCCAAAATTTAGGATCTTTCACTAAATTGTAAAATTATTGTTTTGTTTTTTTCCCACAAAAAATCAGTTTGCTTTCAAGGTGCATTACATTGTATTTCCACATAATTTGTCTCTTTATCTCTGTGGTGTTTGAACCATAAAGACACTAGAAAGACTTGGTCACAGTTAAGAATCGGCTTTAGCATGACAGTTTATATCTTTACCTGTGTACATATAAAAAGTAATTTCCTCTGATCTATGTTTAATCTCTATAAGTTCACTTAATATTTGCATCTCACAGTGAATGAATCTACTTCTATATTTGTCAGCAATATAGCAGTTAATAGAATTTAATGAAATTTTTTAATATTCTTGTGAACAAAATATAGCCTAGTGTTGCACATGATTTGATGGTGTTTGCACAAAGGTCAAAGTTCAGTTCTGTGCAGATAAGATGATTCACCAGACTGCAGCCAAAGGGCCATGAGAAGACTGAAAGCTGCTGCTAGGATAAAATAACACATATGCCTATACAGATATAAAAATAGATCAGCTTCTCCTTGTTCTAGCAATACGACCTTACTAAGATCTTATTCTGGAATCCTAAATCTGTTCAAACTGACCTAACAAGCTTGGAATTTTGCAGATGATGTGATATTCTACAATTTAATTACTATATACTATATTAAGATTACATTTAAAAATTTTTTTTCATAGAGTGATATATATATATGCATATATATATGCACATACACACGCACACACAGATGATAGATATATACATATTATACCTTTATCACAACTGCTTCCCATCTCCACTTCAACTGACAGACATATAGGAATCCAGCTTCTCAGATAACATTAGATAATCTCAACATGGACAAGAAAAGAAAAAAAAACCACATCCTAAAAAAAGTATTCTGTGTTATCTTCCAGATCTTAAAAAATAAGGAGTAAATCGTGACTCCGGAGACTGACATTTTGATTCCTGCTGTTCTCCCTTTAAAAGATAGATGCAGTTTAAACTTCCATTTCTGGCCTCCTGGCCCCTGGGATCCGTGCTACTTCCACTTAAGAGAAAGCGTTTTTTCTTTCGCTCCCTCCCTGTGTCTTGCTCTTCCCCCTCCCTTTCTACAGCTTGCAGAGAGAGCAAGCGAGAAAGAAACACACAGGACTGCAGCTATTCAATCAATCGTTCAGACTGCACATCCTCATTACTTTCGGGCTATTAGCAGACGTCAACCACTACCTCCACTCAGTTACAGAAAATTTCACTGTATTACACTAATCTGCAGCAAGAAAAAACATTTACTGAAATTTATATTCAGCTAGTGCCAAAAGGACACCATTTCACACAGACCCAGTAATGCACACAAATCAACCCCTCCTCTGAAAATCCTACTGGAAGTGCTTACCCTGTTACTATCTTTGCATGCTAGACACTGATTTTCTTTCCATGACTAAACTATCTTCTCTGTGATATCTTGACCAGTAAGACATAAGCCAAACTGCAACATTCGTAATGACTGAGAGATTGACAACATAGCATCTTATATGCCTGCCTGCAGTACAAGAAAGTTCCATGTTTTAAAATTATGACCAATAACTGTAAGTCTCTCAACTTCTCTCTAACCATCAGTGGTTAAATGAGCCTTAATGTACAAAGCCATTTTCAGAATTAGGCACATGTGATTTCTAACGCACAATTCTAAAAAATGGATGTATAATTAGCTAAAATTCACAGGAATGGCACAAAGAACTGAATTTAAACAAATCAGTTGGTCAAAGCACATTGAACAACAAGACCTTTAGAGTTCAGAAACACGAATTAAAAGAGTGATTATCCAAGTTAGGCAATTCTATATGGGGGGCAGGCAGGTGGGGAGAGGGGCTGGTGAAGGTAGAAGAAAATCTCATCTTTCCTCTGATAATTATCTATAATTAGAAGATACATGAGATTGAGTATTACAATATAATATATTTTAATCTCTGAATAATTGATGGAGAAACCAAATTGGGAGAAAAGTTAAGTTCCATTAGCAAGGATAAAATGATCTAGTAAACAGTTTTCCTTATTTTGCAATGTTCTGGTTAAGAAAAATATTGAAACTTATTTCCTCACTTTCTTCCAAACATCTGATTTTAGTCTTCAGGCACACGAACTCATTAAATAAATATATTTCAATGCTTTTAAGTATTTGAAATTATAATGGCTAAAATGAGCAACCATATTTCAAACTCCAACAAATATATTATTTGTTATACTTTTTTTTTCCTTTTAGATTCTTTCTGTTTCATGAAAAAAAAAAAATCACAACTCTGATGTATCTTAAAGATGTTACTGGGTTCAAAAAGAAGAAATCAGGGCCGGCCTGGTGGCACAGTGGTTGGGTGCGTGTGCTCCACTGCGGCGGCCCAGGGTTCACCGGGTCGAACCCCGGGCGCGCACTGACGCACCGCTAGTGAAGCCATGCTGTGGTGGCACCCCATGTAAAGTGGAGGAAGACGGGCACAGATGTTAGCCCAGGGCCAATCTTCCGCAGCAAAAAAGAGGAGGATTGGCAGCAGATGTTAGCTCAGGGCTGATATTCCTCACCAAAAAAAAAAAAAAGGAAGAAATTAAATTATTCTTGAAGTTTCAACAACTTTCACTAAAGAGGGAAAAGAAAAGGGAATGAGGTAAGCTAAATCAACTAACGATAAGAGGAAGAAGTCTACACTTCTTGACTTTCTCAGCCTCCACAACAATGCAACTTATCTGCAGATGCAGAAAAGGCCTTTGAATACCCAGGTTCTTTGGTTCTCAGAAGACTTATAAACTATTTCAAAGCTGAGAGAAGAATATATACCCCAAGAACCAATGTCCACTTAGAAACAGAGGAGCACCATCATCAAGAGCAGAATGAACAACGTGCTGAATTAGTCACAGGCAGGCCTGCACATTACAGTGGTCCAGCTACCTTTAACTTTAAATCTCCAAGCAGAAAGGAAAGTTGCTACTATGCTCTTAAAGCTACATTTCTGCTGAGTCAGAAAGAAAATCTATACTAGTTCCAATAGGCCAAAATTAGACAGCTCTCTCCTCTACACCCCCTCAAGCTACATACTATCTCATTATTTTCACCTGCTGTAAAAATATTCCTTTCATAGTCACAATATTTAATTACAGTCATTTTAAAGTATACTCGCTCTCTACGACTGAGACAAGAGACTTATAATATTGTTTCAGTAGATAAAGGTCTGAAACTGTTTTGTTCACTTTCTCATCCTCTAAAAATAATATTTTTCATCTTCAGATTGAAAGGTGAAAAAAGTTATAAAAGTCCTGGTGAAGTTTTAAATTTATCTCTTCATTTCCTTTGCCACTGGGTATGAATTGAGATAGCTGACAACTTATAATAACGAGACATAACCTCCAACACAGCTCCACACAGGATGATGTATTGAACAAAGAGAACATTTGGGTGCTTTTCTTAGCAGCTCTACCAACTATCTGTGTGGTTCTGTGTAAGCCATTTCACCTTTCCTGCTCTGGTCTTCATTAATCTATTGGGTTATTCAGACCAACCAGAGATGAAGACAAGATGAATGAGTTTATATGCTTTGATGCAAAATTAGCTTTTTGGGAGAAAAGGGCTCTCTAATTCCAAAAAGGAGTATTATAATGTCATTTACTCAACATACTCATTTTCCTCTATGTCAATGTGCTTTCTTTGAAAAGTGTGGCGAAGAAACTGACAACTGGATAATTACAGGAGCAAAAGCACTTTTGGTGGAGGATATGCCTATTCAACAAACAGAAGTCAACCTCTGCCTTTAGAACCTAAAAGTGTGTGCATGGCCTTTAGTTCACTTATCAGGAAGCAAATGTCAAGAAGTGTTTCAGAGAGGAAAAAAAGTAGGACAGTGTAAGGGAGATGAAGAGGTATAGTAATTTCACTATAGTAATTATAGCAAATAGGTAGTCGTATGGATAAGGTGAGGTGAGAGCCGATACTTAAGGAAGTGAAGAAGTCAGCCTTGTAGGTTTATCAGGGAAGAACACTGCAGGCTGACAGAAGCCAATATAAAGTGCAGCGGAGAGGCCAGTGGGACTGGTGTCAGTGAGTGAGGACAAACAGTAGCAGAAAGCCTGAGAAGAATTAGGGCAGGCGTGCTCAGATAATGTAGGCCTCACAGGCCTATACGTAAGGGCTTTAACTTTTTTACTCTGAAATGAAAACCCACCTGGTCAAATACACTTTACCAAAAGGTACAAATCACATAGAAACACTACATAGATACACTTACTGGCACTTTCTGAATTATTTTCTTCTCAGGATTCTGAATAATGAATGTGATTGAAATAATTCTGGAATATTACTATGTTTGGAAAGAGAATAAAGGGAAATGTTTATCATATTAACCGAGAGTTAGGTTCTAAAAACCTCAGAAAATACCTTAAATGAGAAAAGTATCTCTTACATAACATCATTATGGCCAAATATCTATAAACATCAACTATATTTACTTTTTGTTCAATCACATTTAACCAAAATTCATATACCATCATGTCATATATGCATATACTTAACATAAATAACATAGCTAAAAATGTCATGAATTCTGATAATGTCTACCACTTTTAGAATGATTTACCATAGTTAAAAGAAAAAAGGTAGAGGAAATAATTTAAAAATACTTTTTTTAAAGAGAAAAAGATGTACTGTGAAAGTTATTTAAGCATCTCTTTTGTAAATAATTTGTCTAAGACAGAAATATTTTTATGATAATTTTAGTTAATGTTGGGTGTTTTTTATGTGCTAAGCATTGGGTCTAGCATCTACCTTACTTAAGCCCCTGAGGTGGTAACAATTATTATTCTCTTGGATGAGAGTGGGGGCAAAATTTAAAACAAGGGAAATAACCTTACCAGTGTGAAAGTAATTTCAGAAAATTTAACACGAAAGATGAACAAAATGTAAAAAGATATTTATCAAGTTTTAATTTGGTG